TAATACGCACTAGTGACACTCCTGAGTACGGGGAACTGGCGGGTCAAATACAGGCTCTGGAACCTATTAGCACCGGTGGACGACTCACTTTAAAATTCTGTGCGAGGTCTCAGAGCTTCTGCTCTGCCAGGCGCTGCATAATGGCTTTCGATAACCAATTGGATATGTAGACGGCCAATATGATGTAGAGCACGACGAAGATAAGGACGAAAGTCGCGATGGCTTTGTGGCGCTTGGCCTGAAGCTGTAAGCTCGTTTGCCAAACTGTATCGGGTAATGCCTTCATAAGTATAATATTAACATACTTCAAAAGCCTTTACGAGATATGAGCTCATTATGATTACAACCTTTTCAACCAAGCCTAGTAACATCTATGAGAGAACCCTTGCCCACTTTGGGATGATAATATCACCTTGGATATATCGGGTGGGGTAATTGGTTATCCCTGTACTGGTATTGGTATTGGGATAGTTATAGTTGGTGAGGTGTAGGGGGAGTAGAGGAATAATCTTCTGATGGGTTGACTGGTGGTATTATCACCCAAAGCGGGCAAGGGTTCTGCTAACCAATTCAGGTCCCAGAAGGTGTCTGGGGGCGCTCTGTTAAATTTGCTTGGAATTCGGAATGTTCGGTTCTCACAGGAGAGAGGTCTCATTTTAGAAGGCCTCGTGGCTCAGACCTTTGTTTTGGTAGGGGTTGTGGCTCCTGATCATTCTTCGGACTGCAGTGGGCTTGGAGCGTGGTTTGCACGGTGCTCTGGAGTATTTCTAAGGATTTGAAGAGGCCTCGGGCAAGCGACACCTGCACGCTTCCAGAGCCCCCCAGCAAGCACCGCTCTAAACCCTCAAGTGCCACCGTACTGCTCTGTTGTTACTGTACCGGGGCAGGGCCGGGTGGGGCATACTCAGAATGCCGAAACACATTTGCCGGGCCACATAAGACAAAGCAACACTCAATCGACGACTTGCTAAGCAAGGAAAAATGAAACCTTGAGGTGCTGAAACTAGATGTGGGTAGCCAGCTGGACGAAGTCCTTCAACGTCTCCGGCATTTTGAAATCCTCCTCTGAGCCGGCGTCCTCTGCATGGGTGTCGCATGGAATCACATTTCGAACCCGGCCTATTGACGAAATTCCCGTTCAGACTTAACCACTCGCAAGCCAGCCGGTAGCCTCGAGCCTCTTACAACTTCTGAAAACACACAGACGCCTTGAAAAACGATTTCAGTGCAAAGACATACACAGTCCTGGGCTCCAGATTACCATGCCCACAAACACATGGGTAACTGCACAGGACGGGGTCCTGGTTCTGCGGAACCTGCTTTGTGAGCTGCTTCATGGCCTCAGCTGGCTGCGACGGTGTTTCAGAGCGGAAAGGACGAAGGATACAGTCTGTTGATAGCTCATTGAGCGGATGGTTCCTGAAAGGCAAAGGATGAAGGCCGCAGAAGGAAAGAGCGCTGAGAGCTGCAATGCCGAGTGACAGCCATCTGCTGATCCAGGTGCGCCTCGGCTCGCAGCAGAGCCGGATCCGAAGCGAGACGAGCCGAGCCGGCCTTGGTCTCCGGGTTATCGTCCAGGTGATCCTCCCAAAGCCTCAGCAAAGCGCTGGCCCACGGGCACGCTGCGACCGTCATGTCATGTGAGTACTTATTTCTGCGAACCCTAGTCGGAATGTCACCACGAACTCTGACGCTGCTCTCTTCGGGATGAGAGCCGAACGAAATTTGTGTTGCAGGTGGGGGGCATCTCGAATTTGTCTCCGAAGCCGCCGTCCTCCAAGGCAGCCCGGCCGCTAAGGTAGACATTGAGGGCTTCCTCCTTCCAGTGTGTGCAAGTGCGTGGCATCGTTATTTCATTCTGAACCGCTTGCTTCCATGCAATCCAATATGAGCTGCACCGGGTCGTCGCTGTGTGAAACTTATCCTCCCGTGCAGTTCGTAAAGGTCGAGGTCATGAGGGCAGGCATGAGTCGAGGGACCTGGCACCGCAGAAGGCAAGGGTTTCCGTCGGAAGCTGAAGATTTAGGAAAGTTTAGTCTGTTCTTTCGTACGCGGTCTCACAGTGGCAGGAGCCCAGAGGTTTCTGCAGCTGACGAAAATTAACTGGCTTCTTGCCAAGACTTCTTGCTGCACTGCAAGGCAGAGCATGCGAAGAACAGCACGCCCCGAGCTCCTTTGTCGAACACATCGTCAAGGCCACCTTCAAACGCTCGGAGGCCTCTGTGCCCTGACCCAACGCCGCATGTGCACGGAGCAGGCCGAGATTATTCCTTAAATGGCACGAAGAAACACATAGTCATCGTCTTGCCTTGGTTGCTTTTGCCTGTGTAGGATACTTGCGGAGCCAAGGCTAAATCCGCTCAGCAATCCTCCCTGGTGCGACTGAGGCGCGACCTCCGAAGTCGTTTGTTTCCCTGGTCCTTGTAGCATTCCTGTGCACGGAGGAGAGCTCGAAGGCTGCCCTCAAAGTCCTGGCAATTGCCCGCAGTCTGGAGTCTTCCACATTCTCGCAAGTGCTACTAGGCTTAATGCCTGTTTGAGAGCAAAGGCTAGCCTGCTGTCGTGCAACCTGCACCCGAGTTTTTCCGATCCTGGCTCAGGAAGAGGGATCGTGCATGTAGCTGGTGTGCGTCTCCTTGTCGTTGCCTGGCCGCCCAAAATCAAACAGCGGCCGCCGACAGCAGACAGCGGAGGGGCTTCACAAGTCGAGAACTGCACCTTTCAACACATGAGGCCCTTTCCTGCTCAGGAAGGGCAGCGAGAACTTCATGACAAGTTCGCAGGTTTCCAGGCACCGCTTGTCTCTGGGGTTAAGCACACCGTAGGCTTCCTGAGCTAAGCATATGAAGGATGAGACGGAAGAATCGCCCGACGTGCCCTCGATGAACTTTAGTGCAGGCTCGGCGAGGTCAAGCAGTTTGTTGGGCTCGGTCACCTTGGACGCTGCCTCCAGCTTTGGGGGAAGTCAAACCAAGCACTGAGACTTGGGGCACTGCCCGCTCTGTTCACATCCTTCTGTAGTTTCGGGGGCTACGAACTTAGCCAGGAATGCCAGGAGCAGCCTTGGGTTGAGTTCTTCGTCTTTTTCAATCTTTGCAGTATTCTTCATCCAAACTCTTGGAATCGATTGAAGAGGCTCACGATGCTCTGATTTCCACAGGCTTCCCCAACTCACTCCAACCTAGGCTGAATAAGGCTGAATGCCTAAACGAAGTCTAACTCGGGCAAGAGCCCGGTGAGTTCCAAAACGATTACGTTGGGAAACCGCTCCCGTTCTCCAACCCAAGCTGAACTTTGTGCGTTCGCCAACGCTACGGCATTTTTTGCAGGAAAGGGGACATGGTTCAACCGATTCAAGCGGGTACCGAGAAGCGCGGCTAGGTCCCTGCCTTCTCAGCCGTCGCGATCCTTGCCTCCAGCTGCCTCGGAGTTTTTTGCCGAACCGACAGCCGGGGAGGGCAAAGAAAGCTCAGCGAAGAAGCAAGTATGGTGACCAAGCCGATCAAGGGTAGAGTCATATAGTGCAGAAACGGATGGCTAGGCACTGTTTGGTGACATCTTCCTCGCGCGACTCGGAGTTCTCCGCCAACCTGACGACACAAAGGCGTAGACGCAGGTACGCCCACACAGATCGGCAAAGCCCCAAAAGCAATCTGACGGATTGCCGGCCGAGTTGCCAATCATCTTTCAAAGCTTTGATGAAAGGGCTGTCTGGCTCGGGGGGGTCCTCCCAGAGGTCATACAGCCAGTCCAATATGCCCGACATTGCCACTGCCGCACAACGAGGATGCCAGTGGCGTAGCGAAAGGGGCGGTTGCAAGATGTTGCAAGCTTCGTCTCTGGATACTTAACGTGCCTTCCGTTCGTGGGGTCGTGACTGCTGCGGTTGACTGAAGGCATGCGGGCTAGGGCCAGTTTGCATGGCTGTGTAATGCTCACGCTTACAACTGTCGATGTGGTCTCCGACTGTCGGCCTGAGCCAATGCAAGACAGAAAGCAACCTCGGCAAACACGCCACGGGATGTGCGACTTTGACCAGGCAAACACTGCATCATCGCTGCAAAGTGCCGCACACGCGAATCTGAACAGGAGGTAAAGGGCCATGGTTGGGCCTCGGACGGGGTAGGCTAGGAGGCAATGGATGGCTTCGCGAAGGTCTTGTTAACTCAATCCATCCTCATGCCAGCAGCAGCACTGTGGAGCCTTGTTCTCCAGTTTTGCACCATGAAGAGACTGAATGGTAGTGGGCAAACTATAGCAACTTGGACACTACTGTGTCCCGGTTCTCTGCTTCAGAACCGCTCCGGTGCCACCCAAGGTCACTGAAATAGTTAGAGGCCGAACGCTTTTGGAGCACACCGGCATGCAGTATACGTGTAAGTGGGGAGCCGAGCGACCGGTGGCGGCCCTCTCACGGCAATGAAACTCAGACGAAGTACTACTTCTGTTCATCGGCCTTTGAACCCACCAGAAATCAGACCTTGTATCCTGTCATGTCCTCTTGCGCAAGATAAAAGGGGTTGCCTGGGGCAGTAACTCTTCGGATTGGAAAGGCGACCGCACTGTACTGGAGGCCGCACCTGACAAAGCCCTGCAATGTAGAAAGGAAATTACGTCTTGAGCTCTGTCTGCTTAACGGCACCAAACAAGCGTGAAGAAGGAAGGCTGATGTCGCATGACATCTCATCAGACTTGCTTATACAGGAGCACGGTGCGTGTGTGCCAACCATTGTAATTTCGGGGCTGGTGCAAGTCGGTTGGAGAGGGCACCTTCCGCCCTACACTAGCACCGCAGCTGCGCAATGCCTGCAACATCGATTTCTCCTTTTGCCTACAGGTCCAGTTAGCCTGAGAACGCGCCTGAACATAAGCAACGAATTAGCAGGGCTTGGACCAGGAGCTCATCTGTCCGAGTCCGAGGCCCAATTCCTAAAAGAAGTTGAAACTTCCTTCTGCTGACGGCGTACACTTTTCACAAAAGTGAAGAAGCAAGGACGGATCTATTCACGTCCAGCGCCTAATTCCAGCATTACAGCTTGGTGAGACTGATTTCGGTTTCCTTACTTTGCAAGTCATGGATGCATCAACACACACCTCACAGCAAATATCCCTGCAAGAGAGAGAGAGAGTCAAGAAGAAGAAGAAAACAAATAAGAAAGGAGGAGCAAATGAAGGCAAGTCCAATGATTTCCGAGGACGAAATGACCATATGTTGAGCCCGGAAGGCGCAGACGGCAAGTGTATGCACTTCATGCGCAACCTGACTGCCAAAGCAATACCGCCAAACTCAATCGCATTCCGAAAATCTCTTCCTTGCCACGTCCAGCGCCGTCCTCCCTGAGGAGTTCCTCAGAAGGTTGTGAACGGTTGAGGCGGTACGCCCTGAGAAACTAAACAGGTGAAATGATCTCCTTGTGCAGACAGCCAGCTGCAACGGTCTCTATGATTAGGGATAACGTTGTCCGCGCAAGCGTGGATTCAGTCGAAGGGGTCTTAAACGCGAAGCGACTGATGCAGGCTTCCCTGCTTGAACAAGGCGCTTGAGCAGGGTCCGAAAAACGAATAATGCAAGGACAAAGCGTCTTCTGGTCTGCCATGACGCCTGCTGAAAGCAGCAGTGCCACCACCTTAGTTGCCAGTCTTGCTGTGATTCGTCTGTTCCGTGTCCTCGCCTGTGCACTTGCCCTGCGTTTGTCAAGCTTTTTCTTTGACGTTCACACTCGGCAATACCAGCCGAGGTCTGCAAACAAACTGGGATCATGATGAACACCTACCGGCTCCGGCCTTTGTGTTTCCTTTCTCCGCTGCCACATGCAGAGGATAGGTCGTTCGCCAAAACCTCCGTCTACCTTGCAGGGGCACAGACATTTTTCCTGCCATGTTTCCTCACAGTTGGTGCACGGGGGGAAAGGATGCCGTGACAACGATACGGAAAGCGACCTTCTACTGGCTTGCTTTAGTTTATGCGCCCGTTTGCCTTGGCCGTGCCTGCAAAAAAGGAACACACTCAGCACGCGACAGCCTGGCCTTGGTGCGGATCGCCAAACCCGTTGTCAGCAAGGAACTTGCTGAGCAGTTTGCCATCTTCATCCAGCTGGTCCTAACACAGTGGATGGAAAGCTCGGAAGTTGGAAGTTGCAGGGTGGTGATGCTTGCATGCTTTGAACTACCTCGGCTGTCTCCTTGAGATCTTGACCATCTCGCACCCACCCGCCCCCACCCACCCACCCACCAACCCGACAAACGCAACATCGCTCCGCGGCCCGCGGGGGGTGGACAGACCGCAACGCACACGCACAAGAGTACGCACACACAGCATTTGTATCTGTATATACGCATGCGCTCATGGATGCGTGCTTGCATTTTTGAGCAGGTACGCCGCGAAATTGTCAGCACGCGATTGTGTCCGTGCTGCCACGCAGTAGTGAGCTGCAGGTTGTTCTATGTGTTGAATGCCAGAACACACCCTATAGATGAAAGGCTGGCTTGCCTTGCAGCGAATCCGAAGCCCTAACGACTGCACAAAGGATCAACAAAAACATTCGCACGGGCAGATGGAAACTGCACGGTTCCTTCACACCGTCAGGCCGCGGTGCTAGCTTGCACAATCCGGATTGAAGGATAAATCGGGCACCCAAGCCCCTACCCAGCAGCTTCTCCATCTACTATGTAGCGGTTGAACCACGAAGATTCCAAAGAATTTTTTCGATTGTGAAGCTCAGCCAAAAGCCTTTGTCCAGCTGGCGTGGCTAACCAAGTTCCACGAGTGATGTGCTTCCGCTTGCACCACTTCGACTATGCGAGACGTCTTGGTCTGCAGTCGGCAAAGCTGTCCTCTGGGGAACTGCCCTTCGAACTTGACGTGGGCAGCCCTGTGCTGTCGTCCTGGCCGCTGTGTGTGCACTCTAAAAACCTACCATTGACCCGGTAATCCTGAAGCAATCCTGCTTGTCGATGCTGTCGTCCAATTCTATCTCCTCCTCCTCTGGAAGTGCCGGAGCATGAGACCTGTAAGCAAGCACGGCATGCCTCTGAAATCCTGCTATGCCACTGGATCTTTGTTGAAACAGTTCGCGCAAGCATCTCTGACAAAAGCTAAACGAACACCCAGGTTTCAGGGCATTGCTGCTCGCCCAATCGCCGCCTGTCACACAAGCGGCCGCCCTCCATGTCCTGGCCGAGGTAATTTACAATGGCTCCCAAGTCAAACGGGCAAGAAACCACTGCTCAGAGAAGGAACTGCTGAAATTGACTGAAGGACATAACCCCGAAGCTTTTTGGTACGGTTATTCTGCTTGTTCTTTCCGACCGGCCCACCTGCTTGATCAACTCCAAAGCAAGGAGACGCTCATCTTGCCTCTGAGGATGGCTCGTCTTGCAGACTGCAAGGTCACTTGCATCAGCAGATCACAACGGAAGGCTTTGGGCGCTACTTGACGTTGCAAGCGCGCAACCCGGGCAGGCAGAGTGCTGCCGGCTATGCCCAGCCCCCATACAAACATGCGTGGAACCTTGCAGTCTTGCATTTGCGGTTCTGGGGACAAGGCGATGTGCTCCGGCCGTAGGCATTACTAGCAAAGGTCATTCTGATATCAAGCTGTTCACCCCAGCGCCAGCGATGCCAAAGTTGATGTGTAACGACTGCTCTAGACAAAAGGCCTCGCCAGATGGACAGCAGGGCACAAACGAAGGAGGAATGCTCCCGTCCGGACTGTAAGTGCAGCACGGCTATATGTCTTTCAATCCCCACAAAAACTCATGTCGCAGGTGTCCCGGGGCCTGACACCGAGCTCCACAGGCGTCTCTGCTGCGGGGATGGCCTGTGCAAGGATGAGTCGCTCGATTTGATATCCGTTGCCCTTGCTGTTCGGAAAAGGTCTGTGAAGAATGCGTGGGGCTTGAGGCGGAACACCCCAAAATGGCCTGCTCGTACTCTAGTTGCTGGCGCTCGCGCTCTTGGATCTTTGCTCGAAGCTGCCTGCGAACAAGCTTGCCGAACGAGTTTTTGCACATGTGCGACGCAGAAGGACTAGTTTCCCCGTCTAGAACTAGTTGCAGGGCAGGAACTGTCGACCACAACATGCAGGCACACAGAGACGCAGACACAAAAAAAAACTTGCTGGCTTGGCGTTCAATGCGCCAAACGGCGAAAGCTGAACACATCCCACACATGGTCAACTAGTGCATACAACTCCTGGTATCAACGAACCGGCACGTGGAGCTGCATTGCGTGTCACAACTGCTGATTACCGAACAGCACTGGGTCGTGTATCCGACAACCCATAGGTCAACGTTATGTTTAATGTAGTCAACCTCGAAGGCTGCACTGACTTACTGCGATCCTGGGCTTTCAGCTTAGATTCTTGTTGCGACAACTCGAGTGGTTGACATCCCGAAAGAATTTGCCCTGTCGAATCCTGTCGAACAAGCGTGCCTTTCCCACTCCGCCTTGGCCAACATTCCTCGATCCATCCTCGAGCAAGCCCCGAGCTTTGTGGGGCAGCGGTGCTCAAGACTACTCTGTCTCCTCGCCGTTTCCTCGTGTTTGGGATGCGAGTTTAGCCTGGGTTTCGAAGCTCAGGAACCTGCGACCCTGGACTCAAATTCCAAGCCCTAAACCCTGAACTCTAAGCACAGCATCCGCGGGCATAAAAGTGAGTAAAGCACTGATGGACCTCCTTCATGAGGGCTTCTACAATGCTGGCAAGCGTATGATTTGGGAGGGTCTCAGCGCAAACTACTCCTCCACATTACTGCTTCTTGCCCAAACACTTCGTCTCACCCGTCTTGACCAAGGCAGCGCGGATGGCGCGCGAGGATGGCAGCAGCTTGGCATCCTTAGGTGAACATCACTTCATTTGCCTCCTGTACTCGTGGGCTCAATGGATTGGCCCCGCATCGTGCGCAGTGTTACGAGTATCTTGTACCCAGTCACTCGGACTCCTGGTACAGCCTCGCTGTCCACACGAGTCAAGTCCACCTTGGCATGTCCGTTGTGCAGCCTTTTGCAACCAAAACTGCGAGCCAAACCGTTGAGTTCATCGGTGTGTGCCCGCCTTCACAGTGTCCCATGAGGGCAGGCAAAGTCCCAAGTGACTGCCGCAGGACTGAAGAGGCGGATTTGAGGCGCCTGCTAGACTCAGCATGCCCGTCAAGTCAAGGTTGTGGCGTGTGGGAGGGTGGCAGCAGCACTCAGCAACCGTCAACTTGTCAGCCTTGGCCCATTTTCTTGTTGCGACCGGGCTTTGCTGGCTATTCCAGCAAGCCAGATAGACGGCAGGAAGGGCTCTACACCACACAGCGTCAGTGATGATGTGCTGCCAGGATTACTGTGGTCTTGATGGGCACAGTAGACGCATGCAAATGCTAAAACATGTCGTCGTCTTTCGATGTTCTCAGGGATAAGAACAGCGTCTTGAGCCACCCAGTGCCTTTCAGAGTTGTGCGGTTTCACATGGAAAGGCAGCAGCTGTTGCCACTGTGAGGCCAGTCTGAACTTCCAACTTGGACAACATATATAAAGCAGGATGCGGCGAGAAGGCAAACTACGAGCATCCTGATTAGAACACTGCTTCAAAAAACCCTGAAAGTTCACGGAGCTCGTCATCTTGTGGTTCTTGACCCGCGCCGCACTTCAACCCCGTACCTCCAGTCGTGCCGAAGGGCGGCCACACCTGAGCAAGCGACACCTTCCAATTTTCTTACAAAGTGACAGCCGGAGGACAGTCGATTCTGTTCTCTGTGGGCCAAATGTTAACCTTGAACAGCCAGTGTACCATTCGTGCCACAGTCTCCCAGTGTGCTTTCAGCGCTGCGCCTGGCTGTCCACGGCTGCCTTTACCTGCGAAAAACCGTAGCATGCTCGAATTCTTTGGGACTCTTTAGGACCACGCTTGTAATTCCAGCCTGGCCAGCTTGTACACGCGCCGCACCGGCCGCTTTCTTGAAAGCGGCCCCAGCAGTCCTCGCGCTTGGGGCTTGCTTTCTTACATCTGCACGGCACGTGACTGGAAAAAAAGGCATTGGCTGACCTTATGGCCATCCCCAAAAACTCTGCGAGCAAGATTAAAATCTGGAGTACCGTGCGGAGGCGCAGCTCGTCTGGGATGGTTTCGAGGCCCCAGCCCCCCCGCGGCGCTTGCCCAAGCAACGGCACTGGAGAAGTCGCCCGACGGCCTCAAAGGCACTTCCGTCGGATTCCGAAAAGGAGCTCTGGCAGGGCAGCCTAAAGGCGATTAATGGGCATGTCATGCTGAAACCCCTACCTTGGCAGCTGCGACGCCATGCCATTCGTGTTACATGGCGCCAGATGAAGTGTGCAAACAATAATAGTAGCTCTCTCCAAGATTTCGGGCTGTCATGGCTAAGCGCGGCTGCGGTAAGCTGCATTAGCATCCGCTCCTGGTGTTCTGATCATTCTGGAGCCAAGCGGGCACAAACAGAAAATTGGGGAGATGTCTCACGCCAGAATGGTTAGCCTGCACGGCCACGTCACCGAGAGTAGCTGGCCAGTTCAACACGAATCGGACACACACAACATGAAATGGGATCCCGGTGGAATTTGCAGTCTGTTTTCCATCCTCTGGGTCATTGCCACTGGCTTCGTCCTGTGATGCCGGCGCTGGGTCGTCGTTGGTGTCCTCGATAGCTCCAAGCACAACGACACTTTTTCCGCCAGAGACACTTGTGAAACACTCTCGAACTTGTGAGATATAGCAAAGAGCGTGGCAGGGGCTCTCTGGGGCACGCCCAGGACCCGGAAGACCTCCGCCGTATAGTGGGCACCTGACAGGACAATTCCGCTGCAAGGCCTGCAATCCGGCGCGACTTCGACTTGGACTATGTCTGTGCAAGACGTCTAATCAAGACTTCCCTCTGCTCCATATAGTCTCTGCACCGACAAGTTCAGGTCTGCACCAAGATAGGGGATATTCCACTTGTCCACGAGCGTCTGCCACCTTGGCAAGCGTACACGAAGCACCTAGAGCAATGCCGCTGAAGCGAAGACCGCTTTGCCGCTTTCTGTCTGTAGGGTGGAATCCGTCAATGCGGTTTGAGCAGCCCGCGCTGTTGCAGCATATTTGGCATGTTTCCAGCTGAGCTGCACTTGCTATATGTGCCCATAACAGTTTGGGGATCCGTGTCGTGCCGTCTTTTGCTTTTGTAAGTGAGGCGCATCCCGAACAGCTTAGGTCACAAGCTTTTGAGCACGTCAGCTGCCACGCTTGGGAAGGCTGGGTGAACGGCATGTCGAACGAAGACTGGTGAGGCATCTGGGCAGAGCAGAGTCTACGAAGGCCTCAGCCAAACAGGTTGAAGATTCGGCCTGGCACCTGTGACACAAGTCGAGGCCCGAGCTGTCTTGAACAGGCTTCAGTAGCTGCTGCTCGAACCGGGTGTCCTTGAGCTCGAAGAGCATGCGACACATGGATGATCATGCCACCACACGTCCAAGCCCACGACGAAGGCTGCACGCTCTGCAGCTCCGCGACTGGATGCGACATTTGCCATGTCGAACCAAAACATTCCAACCTTGGACAGCGGTGGCTGCATATGCCAAAACGGAAAGTTTGACAGAAAGCCACTTTGTGTGGGGTCGCCACATCTCCCTCCAGGCTCAGCTCCTGCAGAGAATCCGCCTATAGTCGATAGTTGACTGTTTGGAAGCCCAAGACGGCTAGCTCGAACAGTTTCAAGAAACAGCTGCAAGAGCACCGCCCTCCTGCGCAAAGTGCTGCATGGCTTTTGGTAGAAAGTCACTAGGCCTCAGCCGTGTTTCGCACAGGTGGTCCTTGTGAATACAGCCTTCTCAGACGCCCTTCAACGATTCCGTGCATGCGGGCAAAATGCACGACACTTTCAATTCTAGACGTGTTTAGAACTAAGTCGGTGTGAACGAAATGCTCACGATGAGGCTTCAAAGTTGGACCTCGAACAGCTTTGTGGAAGGAACATGAGAGCTCCAAGCTCTTGGCATCTCCCAGCCGAGAGCCTGCAGCAGGAGACCCGCTGTCCGAGAAGGCCTGCCCTTAATGGCAGGATAATGAGTACCGATAATGTGATCTCTTCCGAGCTCGTGTTCAATGCATCTAACGTCATGCATTCGGGTGTTGTCTTGCAGGGTGATTTGGCATTGGGCAGCATGTAAGAATGCATGAGCTTGGTTCTTTGCTTTTCTTTGCGGTAGTTTTGGCTCCACTTGTGATTGCTTCCCTTTGGTGATGTCACGCATCTAAGAAAAGCATTGCGACAGGTGACTTTGCAGCTCGGCCTCTCACAAACGCAGGTACATTTCGTACAAGAATTGATCTTCGTAGCTAGTCTCAGCGCAGCCGCGCAACCAGTGGTGCATGGCAAGCAGCTGCAGGTCTGGGAGCACCCGCAAAGCCTGCTCGATGTAAGACTAATCATTGCAGCCTTGCCACATCAAATGCCCAAACCAGGATGGACAGGTCGAACGCAGTGCATTCCCGAATCTTCTCGCCGCCTTGCTCCTGCAAAATGCCGACAGTCAGCTGTCATGAGTAACACAAACTGTCTTATGGATTTCAGGAACTTCGAGATGTAGCTTCCGGTGCGATTAATCCTCCACAACAGAAACGCCAGCCAAAAGCGTTAAAGCACCATTCTGGCAATTGTGGCGTGTTGAAGGCAACAGCAGAACGAAGCAGCTTCAGCAGACATGATGAACAACCAGTCCGAGAGAGTGGCGGTATTCGTAGCACAAGCAGAACAAAGTAAAAGGAAGACAGAGGTGATCGTGGTGGCAGTTGCAGGTGTCCTGTGCAAGGAATGAGGGCACCGCAAGGCCATCATCTGCATGGGGCAGGGGGGTGAGCAGAACGCACAAGACTCGATGCGGACCAGCACTAGTCACTTGGCAGTATGTGGCATGTTGCACACACGCAGCAAGGCTTGAAATGTGCAGCCCAAAACCAGTTCTGCCGTGTTGCAAAGTATACGGGGCAACGAGGCTCTTCAGTCTTGTACACATGTGTCGCAAGAAGGATCGTCGCTTCGATTGAAGACGAGACTTTAAACATGTGAAGATCGAGGGTTATGCGGCGCTCCATAGTCGCAGACAGCAGCGGTGCGTCGATGTAGCCGGGACGTGTTGGCCACCGTGTGATATTCCTGGCATGACTGGTCTGTTTTCCAATCATCAGTGACTGACAGAGAGCAGAGAAGAGAGAGAGAGAGAGAGAGAGCGAGAGACAGAGAGAGAGGGAGAGCTCTAGAGAGGAAGAGACTGAGGAAGAGAAGGATTCAGGGGCAAAGCCGTTGTTGGAGAAGGTGATGCAGCAGACAGCAGAGGTATCGGGGCGGCTCCTGGCAGACTTGTGGTTTCTCAGTGCACTTACAAAGAAGTAAGGGCACTTTCGTCCGAGCGCCGTCTGCTACGACGTCCTCGGCATACGTGCCACCCCCGCAAAGTTTCTGAAACCAGTCCAAGTTCTGCGAGCATGGATGCGCACCGACCAGTTCTCCGTTAAACATGGTCCGACGGCCAACCTGACTGAAGTCAGCTCAACAGATACTCTCGCAATCTTTGCTGGCTCCGCGCAAGGTTCTGTGCAGTGGGACTGCGGATCTTGGTCAACGCAGCGGCTCAGGTGGCACCCATCAGTGCCAGGCCTCGCGACCCCAGGAAAATGCAACTGAACATGTACTTCTGAGGAAGCTTCAGGGCCTGGTTGCTGGCACGACTCCCGGCTTGTTCGTGGTGTTGTGTTTCGCAGACTGTTTGCATTTCTTCAGCTTGAAGACCAACGTCAGCTCCGAGTATCACTTCATCATACAAACGGTCCTCTGTTGCAATCCTCTGCTAGCAATGCGGAGGTGCTCAGATCTTGTGGCAATATCTTGTCACAGGGCTCTCGGGCGGCCACTCTCCAGCTCCAGCTTGGTGAGTGCCCGGACCAGGTTGGCCAGCCTTGATCTACAAGGGCAGACAGACATGAATCCTGGTCCGCCGGTATTCTGTGAGCAATCATAACGATGTTCGCGAGCCAGACATGATACTACTTCCACTTTCAATTCCCCTGCAGCTCTACTTTTTCTCCAGGCCACTGCCATCCCACATTGTATGAGAAGTCTTGGACTTGATCCATTGGGTTTGGCAGAGCCGCATGCAAGCTCGTGGTCTGCACGTGCCAAAAGCTTCAGTTGTAATCTCCTCTTCATGCATTTTGCTCTCTGCTTGAACCCTCCGGGTTCTATCCACGGCCAGCGCTCGGCGCCAGCGTTCCGTCTGGCCAATATAGACCTACACGTGGAGATGACGCCACCGGCATCCTTCAGCTTGCGCCACGCCACGCACACACATGTAGTTCAGCATATGCGGATTCTTAAGAGCTGAGAACTGGCTTTCAAATGCCGGTGTTCACGGCTGTTTGTTTAGAAGGTCCTGGTGCAAGTGGCGACCGTCGCAGCCTCATGTTGCCTTTGCAGCGGATTTTGGCAATTCTGCCCAAGGACCTCCTGAGCTGCAGATGAACGACCGGAAAGCCAAATCTGGACATTGGGTTTTTCACGGCTCATGGTGCCCTACATGGAGGCTCGAGACACGCACAGATTTTCCGATCATCCGGATGCACGTTTAGGAATGTCCTCTGCTCTTAGGGGCAGCCTGTGGAGAAGCGAATGACATCTATCTCTCAGCACTGTGCGTTCACAGCGATCCGGCGTATTGAAATCTGTACTACCGGGATCGCAACTTAAAGTAGAACGGCCGAGGTGTTTGCTAAAACAGCCCGAAACTCGGGTTGAAACAATGCATGTCCAAGCCGGTCTGACAGTCACTGTTGGACTGCGCAGTAATCCATCGTAGCCACTTGTTTTCGCGGGCTCTCTTGGCAGTCCTTTGCAAAAGGCGTGCGGTGCCAGTGCCGAAGGACGTGGCAAAGAGTGCTTGTGGGACATCTTTAAATCCGGACAAGGACCTGTACATGCAGTGCTGCTGCATGCAGTTGAACCCGCTGTCTGATGAGTCTGATGTAAGAGGCCTCAGTGGAGGCATCCGGCCTATCGTGTTCAGCCTGCAGTCTGCAGCGATGTGATGACAAGCCTTGCCTGAAGGTCAGGCAACGCCAACGAATTCCTTTCAACGGCTCGTGCTGGACCCTTAAACCAAACAAGCAGTCCTTAGCAAAAGATGAAGCTCTTCCCCCATCCGGAACATCTCAAATGCCCCAAAGAACACTCGTCGAAATTAGAGGAATCTCAGACGTGGGTCGTCGCATCCACCGCCAAGTAGGATGCCTTCAACAGAACAAATACATGTCC